GGAAGATCCACTTGTAAAAGACTCTAATAAGAGAGTTATAAGATCTATGACTATTGTAAAAGAGTGTATATTTTCTGGTGGATTACTTTCGTGCCTTTTCTTTCCTCCTTTAAATATGTCCAAATAGGCATCCAATCTATTTGGATTGACTTTGTAGTCATGCAAAAATTCTCTGATATCGTTGGACTCTTTAGTACTTGATGAATGACAATGTTGAGTTGACCTTTGTTCTGGGATCTAGAGTGTGGAGATTTGGATAGGTGGAAAGATCCAAACAGTGACTTGAATGCTCCTAATGTCTAGAATTGGGTCCTTTGTTGTCCAACAAGGAAGATCCACTTGTAAAAGACTCTAATAAGAGAGTTATAAGATCTATGACTATTGTAAAAGAGTGTATATTTTCTGGTGGATTACTTTCGTGCCTTTTCTTTCCTCCTTTAAATATGTCCAAATAGGCATCCAATCTATTTGGATTGACTTTGTAGTCATGCAAAAATTCTCTGATATCGTTGGACTCTTTAGTACTTGATGAATGACAATGTTGAGTTGACCTTTGTTCTGGGATCTAGAGTGTGGAGATTTGGATAGGTGGAAAGATCCAAACAGTGACTTGAATGCTCCTAATGTCTAGAATTGGGTCCTTTGTTGTCCAACAAGGAAGATCCACTTGTAAAAGACTCTAATAAGAGAGTTATAAGATCTATGACTATTGTAAAAGAGTGTATATTTTCTGGTGGATTACTTTCGTGCCTTTTCTTTCCTCCTTTAAATATGTCCAAATAGGCATCCAATCTATTTGGATTGACTTTGTAGTCATGCAAAAATTCTCTGATATCGTTGGACTCTTTAGTACTTGATGAATGACAATGTTGAGTTGACCTTTGTTCTGGGATCTAGAGTGTGGAGATTTGGATAGGTGGAAAGATCCAAACAGTGACTTGAATGCTCCTAATGTCTAGAATTGGGTCCTTTGTTGTCCAACAAGGAAGATCCACTTGTAAAAGACTCTAATAAGAGAGTTATAAGATCTATGACTATTGTAAAAGAGTGTATATTTTCTGGTGGATTACTTTCGTGCCTTTTCTTTCCTCCTTTAAATATGTCCAAATAGGCATCCAATCTATTTGGATTGACTTTGTAGTCATGCAAAAATTCTCTGATATCGTTGGACTCTTTAGTACTTGATGAATGACAATGTTGAGTTGACCTTTGTTCTGGGATCTAGAGTGTGGAGATTTGGATAGGTGGAAAGATCCAAACAGTGACTTGAATGCTCCTAATGTCTAGAATTGGGTCCTTTGTTGTCCAACAAGGAAGATCCACTTGTAAAAGACTCTAATAAGAGAGTTATAAGATCTATGACTATTGTAAAAGAGTGTATATTTTCTGGTGGATTACTTTCGTGCCTTTTCTTTCCTCCTTTAAATATGTCCAAATAGGCATCCAATCTATTTGGATTGACTTTGTAGTCATGCAAAAATTCTCTGATATCGTTGGACTCTTTAGTACTTGATGAATGACAATGTTGAGTTGACCTTTGTTCTGGGATCTAGAGTGTGGAGATTTGGATAGGTGGAAAGATCCAAACAGTGACTTGAATGCTCCTAATGTCTAGAATTGGGTCCTTTGTTGTCCAACAAGGAAGATCCACTTGTAAAAGACTCTAATAAGAGAGTTATAAGATCTATGACTATTGTAAAAGAGTGTATATTTTCTGGTGGATTACTTTCGTGCCTTTTCTTTCCTCCTTTAAATATGTCCAAATAGGCATCCAATCTATTTGGATTGACTTTGTAGTCATGCAAAAATTCTCTGATATCGTTGGACTCTTTAGTACTTGATGAATGACAATGTTGAGTTGACCTTTGTTCTGGGATCTAGAGTGTGGAGATTTGGATAGGTGGAAAGATCCAAACAGTGACTTGAATGCTCCTAATGTCTAGAATTGGGTCCTTTGTTGTCCAACAAGGAAGATCCACTTGTAAAAGACTCTAATAAGAGAGTTATAAGATCTATGACTATTGTAAAAGAGTGTATATTTTCTGGTGGATTACTTTCGTGCCTTTTCTTTCCTCCTTTAAATATGTCCAAATAGGCATCCAATCTATTTGGATTGACTTTGTAGTCATGCAAAAATTCTCTGATATCGTTGGACTCTTTAGTACTTGATGAATGACAATGTTGAGTTGACCTTTGTTCTGGGATCTAGAGTGTGGAGATTTGGATAGGTGGAAAGATCCAAACAGTGACTTGAATGCTCCTAATGTCTAGAATTGGGTCCTTTGTTGTCCAACAAGGAAGATCCACTTGTAAAAGACTCTAATAAGAGAGTTATAAGATCTATGACTATTGTAAAAGAGTGTATATTTTCTGGTGGATTACTTTCGTGCCTTTTCTTTCCTCCTTTAAATATGTCCAAATAGGCATCCAATCTATTTGGATTGACTTTGTAGCCATGCAAAAATTCTCTGATATCGTTGGACTCTTTAGTACTTGATGAATGACAATGTTGAGTTGACCTTTGTTCTGGGATCTAGAGTGTGGAGATTTGGATAGGTGGAAAGATCCAAACAGTGACTTGAATGCTCCTAATGTCTAGAATTGGGTCCTTTGTTGTCCAACAAGGAAGATCCACTTGTAAAAGACTCTAATAAGAGAGTTATAAGATCTATGACTATTGTAAAAGAGTGTATATTTTCTGGTGGATTACTTTCGTGCCTTTTCTTTCCTCCTTTAAATATGTCCAAATAGGCATCCAATCTATTTGGATTGACTTTGTAGCCATGCAAAAATTCTCTGATATCGTTGGACTCTTTAGTACTTGATGAATGACAATGTTGAGTTGACCTTTGTTCTGGGATCTAGAGTGTGGAGATTTGGATAGGTGGAAAGATCCAAACAGTGACTTGAATGCTCCTAATGTCTAGAATTGGGTCCTTTGTTGTCCAACAAGGAAGATCCACTTGTAAAAGATTCTAATAAGAGAGTTATAAGATCTATGAGTATTGTAAAATAGTGTATATTTTCTGGTGGATTACTATGTGTATTTTCTCATAAAATACTATGTGCATTTATAGGGTTTTTGTGTCTTATGAATTATGTTATAAAAATAGAAAATATTCAGATAATATAAGATAATATCAACAAATATAACAACTTATTGTTTGTATATATTAAATTAGCAAAATAATAATAACAATACAATAATAACAATACAATAATTGATATATAGTATTAAAAGATATTATAACATAATTAAGTTGTCGAGATTTAATCATAAATTATGTTAATATATGATAATTAAATAAAAAAATATAAGAATATTAGGTCAATAATGTTAAATGTGTCTTTTTAAGCCATGCTACATAATATATTTGTTGAGCTTGATGTACAATCTTATTTTGTAATACTTTTCAAGTTTGATAGCAAGTCAATACAAGAATTTTGTTCTTACAGAATATGTTCACACTTTACTACATTAATACAGGATATTGTACTAGGACCAAGTTCTCTCGATACTGAAAGACTTAAAAATATAAATACATATTATCGTATCGAGAGATTATAATTATATGACTAGTAGGTAAGTAATTCATTTAGTAATATAAACAATGGACAATATCTTTCTAAGAATTAGTTTCAATATTTGTATTATTTCTCTATTTGATATTTGACATGATTTATAGTAGAATTGTCAAGTAAGCTCTTTTAATAAGATTTGGCCCTAGCCCATGTGAGTTGGGGCCAAAAAAAACCCATAGGGCCAAAAACAATCATTCACTAAAAAAACCCACAGGGCTAAAAGCCCCTAAAGCCCTATGGGTCAAGGCTAGCCCATGGGTTTTCCTTTTTACAAAATTTTATATACAAAAACATAAAATTATTGAAAGATAATGTGAAAGAATCTTCTAAAACAATCTCACCTATTTGAACCTATTTTAACATTAGATACTGTGAAAGATTCATTGAAAAGTAACTTCCATTTTGAACCTCCTGGTCACCATAATTGACAGGGAGAAGAATCACCAACCCAACAAAAGAACCCATTGAAAAAACCTTAATGCTGCAAACACAAAAATAATAGTAAATATAAACATAAGAATAAAATAGTAAAATTAAGCAAAATACAATAATGGCAGCGTTATTATTACAGTGCATCATCATGAATGTTAAACATTGGATAATGTACAAAACTACTTTAAGAAAATTAAGGTAGTAATTTGTTGTTCTATAAGATAAACCTTTGCCCAAAAGATAAAACCTTTTTTGACCAAAAGATAAAACTTTCACCTTTTGCCTGATGTTTGTTCCACTCCATCACACTTTTGCATGTATAGAAATGAAGCAAATCAAATCTATAATAAAACTTGCATGTAGATTTCGCTACAAGTAATCACAATAACCAAATCATGCAATAATCATGCAATAACAGATGAATTGTAGTTTAGTAAAAATAGCTAATAGAAACTCAATCAATAAAGTACCATTAAGAAGTATGTGCAGTGCAACGCCATAATAATATTCACATCCATGCAAGTAAATGGTAAACCAACAAGCAACAAACCTTATTGTTTGAAGTTTTTTAGGCTTCTTTAAACTCTCCTTTAAAAGTCATCTCCAGCTTTAGAGTAATGCAAGATTAAATCAAGATTAGCTTAAAATGAACTTCCAGCAGTCATACAATATAAATATTTGCATCAACCATAGAAGCTGAATCCTACACAAAATGCGGGGATATCTTAGAGCATTTAATCTCTTCCCTTATACCAACTTTCAATTTTATTCTTTTGCATTTTCAACTTCTTTAGAGATTTTTATGAGGGCATCATAAAATATAAATATTTGCATTAGCCATAGAATCTGAATAATACACCAAATGCTGGGATATCTTAAAGCCAAAACCCGCCCAAACCATTCTCACTTCGAAAACAATCAAACACAGTTAATCATAGAGTGACCCATTGATTCAAACACAATATGGAGAAAAGGAAATGAGTGAAAGGGAAGTACCTAAGACAAAGTTAAATGAAACATCCTTTATTCAATGTTGAAGACTTTCAACATCTTCTAAAAGTTTAGACTCATCACTTCTCTCATGAGCAAAAATATATCTTCAACAATTTCGTCTATCACAAGCAATTGAAATACAATCAAACAACTAGTCTATAATTAATAATTTAATGTAAAGTAATTTTAAAAATAATAACATATACACTCACCGCTAGGATTTTCAGAAAATCCATATAACCAATTTTGAGTACAAATCAACATTTGCATGTGTCTAGGAAGAATGGAGCTTCTATATTTCGAAAGTACACACCCACCTTTGCTAAAAGCTGACTCTGATGCCACTGTAGTAATGGGAATACTAAACACATCTCGAGCCATTATAGACAATATGACAAATTTTTTCTCATTAGTCTTCCAATATTTGAGCACATCAAAATCTTCAATGTCTTCATCATCATCTATTGTTGGTTCATCTAAATAAACATCTATCTCGTTCTTTCCAATGATAAATTTTGATTCATTTTGATACATTTTAAAATCCTACAATGCATTACATATTAATTATCAAAACAAAACTAGAAAAACTGAAAAAAAAAATGAACACTAGGTATAAAATGCTTATCGAAATAATCCTCTATCTCTTAAACTTTTTCCCTTCAGTATTGGACTGAGACATCAAGATGGATTCAGTAGGTGATTGGGAAAGAGAAACACTAGAGGTAGAAAAATTCTTTACATATTCTTTAAATAACCTCTTGAACTTCTCTAACACTTTCTTTGTTTTCTCTGCATAGGTTAGAGGATCCAATTTTTTATAACAATATGTTGTAAAATCAGCCTTTAGTCGTAGATCAAGAATAGCTCCAAAAGCTAACCCAATACTATACTCCTTCCAATACTTTTGAAACTTTTCTTTCATATTCATAGCTATATCCTTTAAGGTAACATCTTCATTCAACAAATTCTCTTCAATGATAAGCTGAATTTTCCAAATTTGCATAAAATACAAGTTTGAAGTGGGATAAGATGAACCAGACATCATGTTTGTAATCTCATAAAATGGTTCTAAGAATTGACATATTTTCTCTCCCCTATTCCATTCCTCAGAAGATGGACAATTTTTATAATTTCTATCAACCACTTTGAGAATTTGAAAAGCTTCCTTATATTTGATTGCACTTTCAAGCATTAAATAGGTTGAATTCCATCTTGTAGTCACATCTAATCTCAAACCCATGCTCATATTTATGCCAACATCACTAACACATTCTTTGAATTTGAGAGTTCTTCTATCTGATGATTTAACATACTTAATACTCTCTCTAATATTATGGATTGCTTTGTCAATCACCTTTAAACCATCTTGAACTATCAAATTAAGAGTATGAGCACAACATCGTACATGGAAAAACTCACCATCACATAATAAATTTCTATGAACACAAAGATGGCTTTTTAGAATGTCTTGCAAATTATTATTGGCAGAAGCATTGTCCAGGGTAATTGAGAAAATTTTCTTATCAATACCCCATTGCTTTAGGCAATCAAACACAACACTTTCTAGTTCAACACCTGTATGTGGTGGTTTCATTCGACAGAAGTTAAGAATCTTACTTGTTAATTTCCAATCTTCATCAACAAAGTGCGCAGTTAGGCAAATATATCCCTCAGAAGTAACTGCAGTCCAAACATCAGATGTTAAATAAATTCTATTAGGAATCCTAGACATTATTTGCTTAACTTTATCCTTCTGTTCAAGGTATTCCTTTTCCACATCTGAAACAATAGTGTTCCTACATTTCATGTCAACATTAGGATTAATGTATTTTATCCATTCTCTAATTCCTTCATATTCGACAAAATTATAACGAAGACTATGTTTAATTATAGCTCTTGCAAGTAACTTCCGATGAATTTTTTTATTGATTTTTCGGATCCCAAACTTTCCTTCTTGGTAAAGATCCACATCTAAGTTTGCAATACTTCTACATGCATTGACATGCTGACTTAAATGTGAAGTTCCATAATTGTTTTTAGTAACAGGGTGTTTTCCAACTTTGTAGTTATTGCCACAATACTTACATGCAACCTTAATGCCATCCTCATTTTTTCCTATTTTTGTGAAAAAATTCCAAACATTTAAGACTTATTTTTTATTGGTGGTAGCACTCTCAGATGGACCAGGAGTTTCAGTTGCAAGATCATCAACCAAAGTTAAAGGATTACTCTTAAGGTGGTCCATATTTAAAAGTTATTGCACACAATTGCATAAATAAATGAAAAATATTTTTAAATAGGTCTTTCTTCTATAGAAATTTATGAAACGTTAATGTAAGTCCTATAAAACTAAGAATAAATTTATAAATATATACAACTTATCTTTCAGCTAAACACACCAGGTGAGAAATGGCTAATGATATTGCATAAGGGTTCATGTGTTAGTCTTTCTTATAGAAGATCGTACAAAAAATCAAAGTAATTTTGTACCCTTCCAATTAGATTAGCCAAAGATAAAGTTATGTCATGTCAGTTTAACATCTAATACTATTCGAAACTTTCAAAGAAGAAAAAAGTAATGACCTTTGTAATTGAATAGCGGCAAAATTATTGAAAGAAATAAGAATTTAGCACAAGAAAGTTTAATTAAAAATGATGGTAGGAAAAATAAGATTTTGTATTCATACCTTCTACTTCTGCGACCAAATTAGTCCTCTCACTTGACTGAATCGACCCTACTTCAATCTGCACAATCTCCTTCCTTATTGTCACAAATCTATCTAGAACTTCTGGAGTGCTTATAAATCTAACAAACCTATTGAAAGTGAACCAAAACAGACAAACAACATCGGTCTTATAAAATCATTCCACGTGATTATAACCTACACACAAGTAATTAAAGAAGGCTAAACATTCTAATCCAATTTATCTTGGTCTGATCTAAAAACAATTCATATTTATAAAAGAAAAGATGAAGTGAATCTCTTTCCATAAGAAACAATTCCTCAAATCTATGCAAGTCTGGAGAGTTGTAAATTCCTGTGCAGCACGATAATTTTTGTGGCACAAAACTCAAGTCTTGTTTGTAGCATACTTTCTAAGAGTATCTTAGCTTTTGACACAACTTGGAAAATTCATCATTATGTGTGTTCAGATTACAAAAATAAAGGGTTAAAGAAAAAATAGGCTAAGCATGCACCTTGGATTAACTGACATGAACATTTTATCATAAAGCAAAACTAGAGCAAGTTTTATCACTTCTTTTGTTTTGTTCTTTGTCTGTGAAACTAATCAATCTCTTTTTAACAGAATAGAGTCATTAATGAATTTTTATTGTAGCATGTAGAGAAAAAATTATTTTCATCATTGCTTTTTATCTTAATTTTCTTATCACGTGTCTATTTTTCATCATTCATCTATTTATAGAAGAAAAAAGTCATCATATTTTTCTTATTTTTGTAAGTATAAAAGTTGCTGAATGTAGGATCTGCATAGATGAGCTGACTGACAGAAACAGTAGATGCTTGATCCTCTCTCAGTTACTTACTGGGATGGCAAAGAAGTTTATTCAAATAATCTTGCAAACTTTCAATGACGTTTAACTCAAATTTAAAATAAAATTTCTACTCACGGTCAACAATAACTGGACAAGCAGTGTTCACAACATAAATTTTATAGATACTTCAGAATTATAGTTAGTAATCATTCAATCCAACTCACTATCAAAATCAGCAATCACATTCCGTTCGAACATATTCTACATCTTCATAGCAACATATTACAACTTCAACATTTAAAATCTAAGCTAAAAAAAATATATACTTACCTTCAATGGAGGGTCTAATTCAAAAGGGGTTTTGATTAGTGGAGATTGTTCCGAGAAGTTGGGGTTTTTTAGAGTGATTGCTTGATTGTAGAAGGCAACGATTGGTCATGCTTGTTTAAGATGTTGGGATCATGGGGAGTGTTCTCTGCATTTGAGCTTGGGATTTTAGAGATTGAAGTAGGTTTATGCTTGTAAGAGAATGATCGGGGAAGAAAGTTTGTGAGAGATGTGAAGGAAATGATGCCAGAAGAAGGAGTTGTGAAAGTGCGCGAAAACTATTGTTTGGGGTCAAGGGGCTGACCCGGCCCTAACCCAATATCAATCTCTTTCATAGGGCTTTTGGGGGCGGGGGCTGTGAAAAAGCCCCCTGAAACGTGGGCCAAGAAAATGGGGCTTATTTTAAAGAAGGGTTAGGACTGGTCTTCGGGTTTCAAATTAAAATGACAGCTCTAATTTAGAGTGTGATAATTTTACTTGAAATGGTAAAATTAGTTTTGAGATTTTATCAAAATGTTATGTCAACTTGACACTTTTTTCAGTATCTAATTAGAAACAAAATTCCTTTTGAATTGTAGTTAATTTATAAGGTATAATGAATTGATTTATTTAACTTTATTTAAATTCAAGTGAACTTAATTTTTTAACTAAAATCTAATATATTTTGAGGAGGTAGTCAACAATATAATAATAAAAATATAAAATAAAATAATAGTATTATTTTTTAGCACCGATAAAGAGTTAACTCGTCTTCGTCGTGTAAAACGAATAAAAATAATTTAATAAATATTTATGGTAAAAAAAGAATAAAACTAAAAGAACTTTAAAAAAGACAACGTATTAATTAATTATTGTTAAAGATAATTATTATTAAAGATAATCGATTAACTCATTTAGAATAATATATTCTATTAAAAACAATTGATTATTTAAAAGAGTGTTATACTACTTAAGAGAGGAGACGATTATTTTTTATCATAATCATTTATTTTGTTTTTAAAGACTTTTTAAAATAATACTAAAAATATGTATAAGTTTAAAAAATAAAGGCAATAAACGATGATAATGCATAACTTATATGCAAAGTTATTATCATAACTCACATTCATGATCTCTCACGAAAGCAGTAACATTCAATATTACAATAATTTTAGTCTATCATTTGAACATAACTTCAAAATAAGAGCTTCCAATTTGTCCTTTAATAAAATTATCAAGGACATATTAATATATACCTAACTAAAAATATTAATTAACCAATTATTACTTAAAAAATATTCACACAACTAATTGTATTTTTAATCTATATAAATATATATCAGAAAAATACATGTATTATTGTTTTTCATATGTGATTTATAATTTGAATGAAAGTAACATAGATTACAAATTTACGTGAAAGAGAAAAAAAAAAAGAAAAATAAGTCATGGAATAGTAGGCGATAAATTAGTAGTAAGTGAAACTACTTTTATTAGACGTCTTTTCATCATATAAAATTTAAAAAATAAAGTATCATAAGTGTTTTAAAATAATAAGATAGAATATTTTAAAGTTAAAATAATTGTTAATATAAATAATATTTATTAAACTCGTCTCATTATTTAAAACACAAATTATATCTCTAATATTCTTTCTCCTAATTTTCTCTCTAAGAAATCTAACTTCTGGACAATCTGTTTGACAATTAGAAAGTCCTAAGAGATCACAACAGAGTAATCTTCATTTTTTTAGAGCAAGTAAGTTTCTATCCCTTTTTCCTTTTTGTTTTCTATCCATAATCATACTTACGAACCTGTCGCATGTGTCATTCGTCTTCTATTTTTGATTCTTGNACATCTTCATTCAACAAATTCTCTTCAATGATAAGCTGAATTTTCCAAATTTGCATAAAATACAAGTTTGAAGTGGGATAAGATGAACCAGACATCATGTTTGTAATCTCATAAAATGGTTCTAAGAATTGACATATTTTCTCTCCCCTATTCCATTCCTCAGAAGATGGAAAATTTTTATAATTTCTATCAACCACTTTGAGAATTTGAAAAGCTTCCTTATATTTGATTGCACTTTCAAGCATTAAATAGGTTGAATTCCATCTTGTAGTCACATCTAATCTCAAACCCATGCTCATATTTATGCCAACATCACTAACACATTCTTTGAATTTGAGAGTTCTTCTATCTGATGATTTAACATACTTAATACTCTCTCTAATATTATGGATTGTTTTGTCAATCACCTTTAAACCATCTTGAACTATCAAATTAAGAGTATGAGCACAACATCGTACATGGAAAAACTCACCATCACTTAATAAATTTCTATGAACACTAAGATGTCTTTTTATAATGTCTTGCAAATTATTATTGGCAGAAGCATTGTCTAGGGTAATTGAGAAAATTTTCTTATCAATACCCCATTGCTTTAGGCAATCAAACACAATACTTTCTAGTTCAACACCTGTATGTGGTGGTTTCATTCGACAGAAGTTAAGAATCTTACTTGTTAATTTCCAATCTTCATCAACAAAGTGCGCAGTTAGGCAAATATATCCCTCAGAAGTAACTGCAGTCCAAACATCAGATGTTAAATAAATTCTATTAGGAATCCTAGACATTATTTGCTTAACTTTATCCTTCTGTTCAAGGTATTCCTTTTCCACATCTGAAACAATAGTGTTCCTACATTTCATGTCAACATTAGGATTAATGTATTTTATCCATTCTCTAATTCCTTCATATTCGACAAAATTATAACGAAGACTATGTTTAATTATAGCTCTTGCAAGTAACTTCCGATGAATTTTTTTATTGATTTTTCGGATCCCAAACTTTCCTTCTTGGTAAAGATCCACATCTAAGTTTGCAATACTTCTACATGCATTGACATGCTGACTTAAATGTGAAGTTCCATAATTGTTTTTAGTAACAGGGTGTTTTCCAACTTTGTAGTTATTGCCACAATACTTACATGCAACCTTAATGCCATCCTCATTTTTTCCTATTTTTGTGAAAAAATTCCAAACATTTAAGACTTATTTTTTATTGGTGGTAGCACTCTCAGATGGACCAGGAGTTTCAGTTGCAAGATCATCAACCAAAGTTAAAGGATTACTCTTAAGGTGGTCCATATTTAAAAGTTATTGCACACAATTGCATAAATAAATGAAAAATATTTTTAAATAGGTCTTTCTTCTATAGAAATTTATGAAACGTTAATGTAAGTCCTATAAAACTAAGAATAAATTTATAAATATATACAACTTATCTTTCAGCTAAACACACCAGGTGAGAAATGGCTAATGATATTGCATAAGGGTTCATGTGTTAGTCTTTCTTATAGAAGATCGTACAAAAAATCAAAGTAATTTTGTACCCTTCCAATTAGATTAGCCAAAGATAAAGCTATATCATGTTAGTTTAGCATCTAATACTATTCGGAACTTTCAAAGAAGAAAAAAGTAATGACCTTTGTAATTGAATAGCGGCAAAATTATTGAAAGAAATAAGAATTTAGCACAAGAAAGTTTAATTAAAAATGATGGTAGGAAAAATAAGATTTTGTATTCATACCTTCTACTTCTGCGACCAAATTAGTCCTCTCACTTGACTGAATCGACCCTACTTCAATCTGCACAATCTCCTTCCTTATTGTCACAAATCTATCTAGAACTTCTGGAGTGCTTATAAATCTAACAAACCTATTGAAATTGAACCAAAACAGACAAACAACATCGGTCTTATAAAATCATTCCACGTTATTATAACCTACACACAAGTAATTAAAGAAGGCTAAACATTCTAATCCAATTTATCTTGGTCTGATCTAAAAACATTTCATATTTATAAAAGAAAAGATGAAGTGAATCTCTTTCCATAAGAAACAATTCCTCAAATCTATGCAAGTCTGGAGAGTTGTAAATTCCTGTGCGGCACGATAATTTTTGTGGCACAAAACTCAAGTCTTTTTGTTTGCAGCATACTTTCTGAGAGTATCTTAGCTTTTGACACAACTTGGAAAATTCATCATTATGTGTGTTCAGATTACAAAAATAAAGGGTTAAAGAAAATAGTCTAAGCATGCACCTTGGATTAACTGACATGAACATTTTATCATAAAGCAAAACTAGAGCAAGTTTTATCACTTCTTTTGTTTTGTTCTTTGTCTGTGAAACTAATCAATCTCTTTTTAACAGAATAGAGTCATTAATGAATTTTTATTGTAGCATGTAGAGAAAAAATTATTTTCATCATTGCTTTTTATCTTAATTTTCTTATCACGTGTCTATTTTTCATCATTCATCTATTTATAGAAGAAAAAAGTCATCATATTTTTCTTATTTTTGTAAGTATAAAAGTTGCTGAATGTAGGATCTGCATAGATGAGCTGACTGACAGAAACAGTAGATGCTTGATCCTCTCTCAGTTACTTACTGGGATGGCAAAGAAGTTTATTCAAATAATCTTGCAAACTTTCAATGACGTTTAACTCAAATTTAAAATAAAATTTCTACTCACGGTCAACAATAACTGGACAAGCAGTGTTCACAACATAAATTTTATAGATACTTCAGAATTATAGTTAGTAATCATTCAATCCAACTCACTATCAAAATCAGCAATCACATTCCGTTCGAACATATTCTACATCTTCATAGCAACATATTACAACTTCAACATTTAAAATCTAAGCTAAAAAAAATATATACTTACCTTCAATGGAGGGTCTAATTCAAAAGGGGTTTTGATTAGTGGAGATTGTTCCGAGAAGTTGGGGTTTTTTAGAGTGATTGCTTGATTGTAGAAGGCAACGATTGGTCATGCTTGTTTAAGATGTTGGGATCATGGGGAGTGTTCTCTGCATTTGAGCTTGGGATTTTAGAGATTGAAGTAGGTTTATGCTTGTAAGAGAATGATCGGGGAAGAAAGTTTGTGAGAGATGTGAAGGAAATGATGCCAGAAGAAGGAGTTGTGAAAGTGCGCGAAAACTATTGTTTGGGGTCAAGGGGCTGACCCGGCCCTAACCCAATATCAATCTCTTTCATAGGGCTTTTGGGGGCGGGGGCTGTGAAAAAGCCCCCTGAAACGTGGGCCAAGAAAATGGGGCTTATTTTAAAGAAGGGTTAGGACTGGTCTTCGGGTTTCAAATTAAAATGACAGCTCTAATTTAGAGTGTGATAATTTTACTTGAAATGGTAAAATTAGTTTTGAGATTTTATCAAAATGTTATGTCAACTTGACACTTTTTTCAGTATCTAATTAGAAACAAAATTCCTTTTGAATTGTAGTTAATTTATAAGGTATAATGAATTGATTTATTTAACTTTATTTAAATTCAAGTGAACTTAATTTTTTAACTAAAATCTAATATATTTTGAGGAGGTAGTCAACAATATAATAATAAAAATATAAAATAAAATAATAGTATTATTTTTTAGCACCGATAAAGAGTTAACTCGTCTTCGTCGTGTAAAACGAATAAAAATAATTTAATAAATATTTATGGTAAAAAAAGAATAAAACTAAAAGAACTTTAAAAAAGACAACGTATTAATTAATTATTGTTAAAGATAATTATTATTAAAGATAATCGATTAACTCATTTAGAATAATATATTCTATTAAAAACAATTGATTATTTAAAAGAGTGTTATACTACTTAAGAGAGGAGACGATTATTTTTTATCATAATCATTTATTTTGTTTTTAAAGACTTTTTAAAATAATACTAAAAATATGTATAAGTTTAAAAAATAAAGGCAATAAACGATGATAATGCATAACTTATATGCAAAGTTATTATCATAACTCACATTCATGATCTCTCACGAAAGCAGTAACATTCAATATTACAATAATTTTAGTCTATCATTTGAACATAACTTCAAAATAAGAGCTTCCAATTTGTCCTTTAATAAAATTATCAAGGACATATTAATATATACCTAACTAAAAATATTAATTAACCAATTATTACTTAAAAAATATTCACACAACTAATTGTATTTTTAATCTATATAAATATATATCAGAAAAATACATGTATTATTGTTTTTCATATGTGATTTATAATTTGAATGAAAGTAACATAGATTACAAATTTACGTGAAAGAGAAAAAAAAAAAGAAAAATAAGTCATGGAATAGTAGGCGATAAATTAGTAGTAAGTGAAACTACTTTTATTAGACGTCTTTTCATCATATAAAATTTAAAAAATAAAGTATCATAAGTGTTTTAAAATAATAAGATAGAATATTTTAAAGTTAAAATAATTGTTAATATAAATAATATTTATTAAACTCGTCTCATTATTTAAAACACAAATTATATCTCTAATATTCTTTCTCCTAATTTTCTCTCTAAGAAATTTAACTTCTGGACAATCTGTTTGACAATTAGAAAGTCCTAAGAGATCACAACAGAGTAATCTTCATTTTTTTAGAGCAAGTAAGTTTCTATCCCTTTTTCCTTTTTGTTTTCTATCCATAATCATACTTACGAACCTGTCGCATGTGTCATTCGTCTTCTATTTTTGATTCTTGGTTAATCTGAAGTCCTAAGGACTCACTCCGATCACACTTTGGTGATTTGTAGGCATTTCTAGGGTTCCTTGCGTTTGAAACAACGGTTGGACGTTCTTATAGTCGTAGTAGTTTTTTGTGAGATAAGAGAAGCTAATTATTGTCTTATGCTAAATTATAAAGTATGTATTTATAATATTTAGAGTGTGTGATATGTGGATGTCGAATACTTATGTTTAAATAATTGATTAATGTGAATTATTGTTGTGAAATTGTGTTTGATCACATGATGATTGTGGATTTGTATGATTCTATGATAAATTTACAATTTGTGATGTTTTGCGCGGTTGAGATGTTCTTGATTGTGTTGAGATTCATTGAAAGGGGAGAAGTATTGAACTAACATGAGTAGTAGAGGTTTGTGGTCAAAATAAGAGGTTTTGGGTATGTGAGTTTTGAGTTAAGGTTTAACAAAGGAAATTCAATTTTAGGGTTTTTTTGAGGTGATTTATAGCTAGTTAGAGTGAAGAATATATTAGAATATGATCTAGAAAGGAGTAGTAATGGGTTGATAGTATGTTGGTTAGTTTTAAGTTGATTTTTGAGAGTTTGGAATAGTGGTATTTTGAATTTTAGGTTCCGGATTAAATTAATTAGTTTAAAGGATATTGGTAAGTCATTTTTACTTGTTAAAGTTCTTAAGTTACTAAAAATGAACTAGAACAAGTAGAAGACAATTTTAGTCTTTAGCTACTCGCATTTAATAAAATAACAATTTTAAACTTTTTATGCTACTTCTTTTACCCAAATCTTAGTTACCCATACTTTTCAAATTAAACCATTTTCAACTTGTCCACATATTTTTCAATAATTTCTTCTTAAATCCAAGTCATTTCGTATTTTTTTAAGTTGTAGTTTTTTGTAGTACTCTAATTTTAATCTTAAAATCAATTTTACATAGTTTATCTTTTAGATTTTTATTAATTATATTATTTTCTTATAATATCTTACATTGGTATATATTAGGTTTAAGATTTAGTTACACCAAAATAAAATAAAAAGAAATTAAAAAAATTTTAATTTTTAAAACACGGAGACAAATCGCAAAACATGGTTCTCTTGCAGAATTGATTACCTTCATAAACCTTGCTCTGAAACCCAGAAGATAACACAACGCAAAGAATCCCTTTCCACAAGAATCTACCAGTTATTGAAAATCGATGGTTTTTATTGAGAACTCCCTTCGAATCAAATCAGTTGGAATACAATGGTTAGTGGCATCACTCATTCAATCTTATTCACTTACATCACTTACACAGTTTTTGTGTCTATCTGTTAATTCAATGCTTCCAACTCACTCTGCTTTCGTTTTTGTGTTGTTGTTTTTTTAGTCGGTGACTGTGCACACAAACCTAGGTGACATCAAGTGCGAAATCTTCTGCGACGAGATTCCCAAAACCTCCGAGGTTTATTTCTCCCCTTAATTTCAAATATACTGTCCGCTTTTTTTTTTTGGTTTGCAATCACGATTTGTTTTTAGAAGAAAAGATTCGAAATGATGTGTTTTCGTTACCCTAATTGTCGGGACGAGTGGCGTTTGTGAACAGAGGACACAGCGTAGATGCTTGCGAATATGAATTTTAACTCAGTTTTTTGTTAGATATAATTTCTATGCTGATTGGATAAGAACGGTAAGTGTGTGTGGATTGATGTTTTTAAATTGAATTAGTTGAAATTGGTTTTAATGTGATGGGCTTTATGTTTAAATTGAGTTCAAAATTATGCTAATTTGACATCGAGGTCCACAAAATTACTCTTATTCTATTTATTTTTTTCTAAATTATGATTGTTTTGATAAAATAGACTCAAATTGGTTTTGGTATCCCAATTGTCGAAAGTAGAGACAATACTTACAGCGAGCTTGCTATTTTTTTGAATTTTAATTCAAATATTTATTGTGCTGAATACTGAGCTATAATTTCAATTTTGATTGCAACATTAGAAGTATCGAATAATCTGTTCTAAGTTTTAGGCGTGTATGCCTAGGATAGTTGGATTTATCTGTGACCGTGAGCAAGATCTTTCAGTTGTGTAATTTATTAGCGCGAATTGTGTGTAATCATGCCAAGATTTTAAATTGCTTTCTCGGTTGCATTTTCCTAGTGGTACTTGATGCTGTAGGAAACTGCAGACAAATGCAGCTGATGTGGAAATTACAATCACATACCATTTTAAAAATCCTTGATTCATGTAGTAATGAATCCGGACTGTTAGGGTGTGAATATGATGTTTGTAGTTTAAACGTGTATTTTGAGTTATATTTATTGAAATAAATTATGAATAGTTCAGTCATTATCTAATAGTTCTTGATTGCTGACTGGCTGAATGTATGAATTGGTGGTTTAGCTTAATAATGATTGAAGGCTATCGCTCTAGTCCTCTATCTGAGGGTTTACTATTGGTTTTTCTGTATTGAAGGGGGCTGTAACTAGCAGTTGAATTCTCGTGTAAATGTGTTTTAATCCAGAACTTTTTGGCGCTGTGTGGAAGTGGTTACTATGATGGGACTATATTTCACCGCAACATTAAGGGTTTTATGATTCAAGGTGGAGATCCCACTGGAACTGGCAAAGGGGGAACCTGTATATGGGGCAAGAAATTTAATGATGAGATACGAGAATCACTGAAGGTGAGTTCAACCAATATGAATCCATGTCTAGAGTTCTTTTGTTCTGTCAGGTAGCAATTCATTGATGTGTTGGAAGAGGTCAGAAATAGGATAAAATATGATTTCTATTTCATGTCTTGATTTCTATTCATCTTTGATGCATTTTCACAATAAAATGTCACGAGATAGGATACAACTTTTTTTTGTTGTGCTCAAAAAGAATTGAAATATTTGTTATGCTTGTGTTAGTTCTGAATGTCAATATTGGAACTTGAGCGTGGAAAATGGCTCATGGTTTCCACAGGATGAATAGCACTCTTGTTAGCATGTCTTAAAATTAAGACTTCAATTGAGATTTACTGTCGTCAGGATGCTGCAATTGAAGAAATTTGTGTGCAAAATGGCTTTGTAGGTTTCTCAAAGCAATTTGTCTTGTTTGAGAGTTATCCCTATAACTGAAAAAATAATTCACTAAGCTGCTTTATACGAAACAGGAGTTATTTTCTTGCATCTTTTAACTGTGAATTTTTGTTGCTGTAAATTTTACTATATTTGTATGTATTTTGATTGGCTTATTCTTCTGGTTGATGAAAGTCAATTTTATTATATTGCAATACAATCATCTTAAGGCTGTTATATTTCAGTATCTCACCAAATGTGGTTAATTTATGATGTTGTTCATGATGTTAATTGTGAGCTGTGGTATGAAATCAGATAGTGGCGGAATTTTCATTTTTTATTTGCCTCTATGAAGTGACAGAATAATTATAGGCATTTTCTTCATCTGATGATTATTGTAGTTTAAAAAGTTGCCCTCGTTTATGTTTCAGCATAATGCAAGGGGAATATTGGCAATGGCTAACAGTGGTCCAAATACTAACGGAAGTCAGTTCTTCATAACTTACGCAAAACAGCCACATTTAAATGGGCTATACACTGTGTTTGGAAGAGTAATTCATGGATTCGAAGTTCTTGATCTCATGGAAAAGGTATTTCATTCTTCCGTAATTATTGTAATTGCTTATTCTCTTTTTAAAAAATTATTTGGTTGAAGTTTAAGCTGATTTCTTGGTCTTGGTCTTAGCTTGGTTTGGTAACTCAACCAATATCTACATTTTTTTGGTGTTATATTCATGCTACTTGTCTAGAGTGTTAGTTTTTTTGTGTAGTTTGATTAAGTTTTTGTAGTGTGTTTTTAGTCCCACGTTGCTTAGTATTGTGAGATGGTGTTCTTCACTTTGCTATATAAGAAAGCTTATGTAAGGTTTACAAATGCACAAAAATAAATAATTCTTAGTGTTGTTTATTTCTCTCTTCTCTCCTTTATTACCCTTGTTCCCAACAATTGGTATCAAGAGCCCATTTCTTAGTATGCTCTGTGGTTTCAACTGTGGCTGCAGCTGTGTCTGATCTTCCACATCAGAAAAGATTTTTTCTCTTGTTCTTGGGATCTCAGTTTAGAGAACTAGTGGGGGCTTTTCTTCAAAAGCAGTAGGAGCAATGGCAATGGACGAAGGCAAGATGAATGAATTGGGATTTTCACTCATATGCCCAAGTCTTTGGTGCCATAAATTGGGATTTTCATTTGCTGCAACTGCAATCAAATGACATGCTCCTGCTGTCTTGTAAAGAGTACCACTCTTTTTTCCTCGAGCAATTGTCATCGCACCCTTTGAAATCTTCCAATCATCATCGTGGAAGATTGTCGTGTAGCCTTCACTAGTTAGCTGGCCCACTGAGATTAAGTTCTTCGTCAGGTCGGGGATATGTCTGACATTTTTCAATTCCCATACAGACCCATTTAACTTAATCTTTACTATGCCTTTACCTACAATCTCACATGACTGCTCATTACCAAGGTAAACCTTACCAAGGTTTCCAGGAACATAATTCTCGAATAGTTCTTTCTGTGAGGTTGCATGGAAGGATGCTCCAGAGTCTAACACCCAAGACTCTTCCTTGTTTTCCAACGAACATATCAGCTCATCATCTCCTCTTGAGGTTTCATCAACGTTTGCTTCATCTTTCACCTCTTGTTTCTTCGAGTCACTCTTGCATTGATTTTTGTAGTGTCCAGTCTTCCCACTATTCCAACATTTGATAGTTTTCGATTTGTTAGAGCTTTGATGATTTCTGGATTTGGACTGCCTCTCCTTTGATTTGCCTTGTTTGGTTCCTTTGGTTGAACTTCTACCTCTTGACTCTGTATGCAATATTGAAGAGGTTGTTGATTCACCCGTCTCTATCCGGCAGACTTCTTCACTGAGGACTAAGTCACGAACATCATCAAACTTTAACTTGTTGCTTCCTGAGGAGCTACTCACAGTTGTGACAGTAGCATTTCAACTTTCTGGTAGGGAAGAAAGAAGTCTGGATTGTAATTGTGTTGAGTTCGTTTATATGTTGCGCTGTTGATGCGCCTTCTGTCATCCGTAGGTTGAACAACCGCCTCATCAAGTGAACTTTGNGATACGAGAATCACTGAAGGTGAGTTCAACCAATATGAATCCATGTCTAGAGTTCTTTTGTTCTGTCAGGTAGCAATTCATTGATGTGTTGGAAGAGGTCAGAAATAGGATAAAATATGATTTCTATTTCATGTCTTGATTTCTATTCATCTTTGATGCATTTTCACAATAAAATGTCACGAGATAGGATACAACTTTTTTTTGTTGTGCTCAAAAAGAATTGAAATATTTGTTATGCTTGTGTTAGTTCTGAATGTCAATATTGGAATTTGAGCGTGGAAAATGGCTCATGGTTTCCACAGGATGAATAGCACTCTTGTTAGCATGTCTTAAAATTAAGACTTCAATTGAGATTTACTGTCGTCAGGATGCTGCAATTGAAGAAATTTGTGTGCAAAATGGCTTTGTAGGTTTCTCAAAGCAATTTGTCTTGTTTGAGAGTTATCCTTATAACTGAAAAAATAATTCACTAAGCTGCTTTATACTAAACAGGAGTTATTTTCTTGCATCTTTTAACTGTGAATTTTTGTTGCTGTAAATTTTACTATATTTGTATGTATTTTGATTGGCTTATTCTTCTGGTTGATGAAAGTCAATTTTATTATATTGCAATACAATCATCTTAAGGCTGTTATATTTCAGTATCTCACCAAATGTGGTTAATTTATGATGTTGTTCATGATGTTAATTGTGAGCTGTGGTATGAAATCAGATAGTGGCGGAATTTTCATTTTTTATTTGCCTCTATGAAGTGACAGAATAATTATAGGCATTTTCTTCATCTGATGATTATTGTAGTTTAAAAAGTTGCCCTCGTTTATGTTTCAGCATAATGCAAGGGGAATATTGGCAATGGCTAACAGTGGTCCAAATACTAACGGAAGTCAGTTCTTCATAACTTACGCAAAGCAGCCACATTTAAATGGGCTATACACTGTGTTTGGAAGAGTAATTCATGGATTTGAAGTTCTTGATCTCATGGAAAAGGTATTTCATTCTTCCGTAATTATTGTAATTGCTTATTCTCTTTTTAAAAAATTATTTGGTTGAAGTTTAAGCTGATTTCTTGGTCTTGGTCTTAGCTTGGTTTGGTAACTCAACCAATATCTACATTTTTTTGGTGTTATATTCATGCTACTTGTCTAGAGTGTTAGTTTTTTTGTGTAGTTTGATTAAGTTTTTGTAGTGTGTTTTTAGTCCCACGTTGCTTAGTATTGTGAGATGGTGTTCTTCACTTTGCTATATAAGAAAGCTTATGTAAGGTTTACAAATGCACANTTTACTTGTTAAAGTTCTTAAGTTACTAAAAATGAACTAGAACAAGTAGAAGACAATTTTAGTCTTTAGCTACTCGCATTTAATAAAATAACAATTTTAAACTTTTTATGCTACTTCTTTTACCCAAATCTTAGTTACCCATACTTTTCAAATTAAACCATTTTCAACTTGTCCACATATTTTTCAATAATTTCTTCTTAAATCCAAGTCATTTCGTATTTTTTTAAGTTGTAGTTTTTTGTAGTACTCTAATTTTAATCTTAAAATCAATTTTACATAGTTTATCTTTTAGATTTTTATTAATTATATTATTTTCTTATAATATCTTACATTGGTATATATTAGGTTTAAGATTTAGTTACACCAAAATAAAATAAAAAGAAATTAAAAAAATTTTAATTTTTAAAACACGGAGACAAATCGCAAAACATGGTTCTCTTGCAGAATTGATTACCTTCATAAACCTTGCTCTGAAACCCAGAAGATAACACAACGCAAAGAATCCCTTTCCACAAGAATCTACCAGTTATTGAAAATCGATGGTTTTTATTGAGAACTCCCTTCGAATCAAATCAGTTGGAATACAATGGTTAGTGGCATCACTCATTCAATCTTATTCACTTACATCACTTACACAGTTTTTGTGTCTATCTGTTAATTCAATGCTTCCAACTCACTCTGCTTTCGTTTTTGTGTTGTTGTTTTTTTAGTCGGTGACTGTGCACACAAACCTAGGTGACATCAAGTGCGAAATCTTCTGCGACGAGATTCCCAAAACCTCCGAGGTTTATTTCTCCCCTTAATTTCAAATATACTGTCCGCTTTTTTTTTTTGGTTTGCAATCACGATTTGTTTTTAGAAGAAAAGATTCGAAATGATGTGTTTTCGTTACCCTAATTGTCGGGACGAGTGGCGTTTGTGAACAGAGGACACAGCGTAGATGCTTGCGAATATGAATTTTAACTCAGTTTTTTGTTAGATATAATTTCTATGCTGATTGGATAAGAACGGTAAGTGTGTGTGGATTGATGTTTTTAAATTGAATTAGTTGAAATTGGTTTTAATGTGATGGGCTTTATGTTTAAATTGAGTTCAAAATTATGCTAATTTGACATCGAGGTCCACAAAATTACTCTTATTCTATTTATTTTTTTTTCTAAATTATGATTGTTTTGATAAAATAGACTCAAATTGGTTTTGGTATCCCAATTGTCGAAAGTAGAGACAATACTTACAGCGAGCTTGCTATTTTTGTGAATTTTAATTCAAATATTTATTGTGCTGAATACTGAGCTATAATTTCAATTTTGATTGCAACATTAGAAGTATCGAATAATCTGTTCTAAGTTTTAGGCGTGTATGCCTAGGATAGTTGGATTTATCTGTGACCGTGAGCAAGATCTTTCAGTTGTGTAATTTATTAGCGCGAATTGTGTGTAATCATGCCAAGATTTTAAATTGCTTTCTCGGTTGCATTTTCCTAGTGGTACTTGATGCTGTAGGAAACTGCAGACAAATGCAGCTGATGTGGAAATTACAATCACATACCATTTTAAAAATCCTTGATTCATGTAGTAATGAATCCGGACTGTTAGGGTGTGAATATGATGTTTGTAGTTTAAACGTGTATTTTGAGTTATATTTATTGAAATAAATTATGAATAGTTCAGTCATTATCTAATAGTTCTTGATTGCTGACTGGCTGAATGTATGAATTGGTGGTTTAGCTTAATAATGATTGAAGGCTATCGCTCTAGTCCTCTATCTGAGGGTTTACTATTGGTTTTTCTGTATTGAAGGGGGCTGTAACTAGCAGTTGAATTCTCGTGTAAATGTGTTTTAATCCAGAACTTTTTGGCGCTGTGTGGAAGTGGTTACTATGATGGGACTATATTTCACCGCAACATTAAGGGTTTTATGATTCAAGGTGGAGATCCCACTGGAACTGGCAAAGGGGGAACCAGTATATGGGGCAAGAAATTTAATGATGAGATACGAGAATCACTGAAGGTGAGTTCAACCAATATGAATCCATGTCTAGAGTTCTTTTGTTCTGTCAGGTAGCAATTCATTGATGTGTTGGAAGAGGTCAGAAATAGGATAAAATATGATTTCTATTTCATGTCTTGATTTCTATTCATCTTTGATGCATTTTCACAATAAAATGTCACGAGATAGGATACAACTTTTTTTTGTTGTGCTCAAAAAGAATTGAAATATTTGTTATGCTTGTGTTAGTTCTGAATGTCAATATTGGAACTTGAGCGTGGAAAATGGCTCATGGTTTCCACAGGATGAATAGCACTCTTGTTAGCATGTCTTAAAATTAAGACTTCAATTGAGATTTACTGTCGTCAGGATGCTGCAATTGAAGAAATTTGTGTGCAAAATGGCTTTGTAGGTTTCTCAAAGCAATTTGTCTTGTTTGAGAGTTATCCCTATAACTGAAAAAATAATTCACTAAGCTGCTTTATACGAAACAGGAGTTATTTTCTTGCATCTTTTAACTGTGAATTTTTGTTGCTGTAAATTTTACTATATTTGTATGTATTTTGATTGGCTTATTCTTCTGGTTGATGAAAGTCAATTTTATTATATTGCAATACAATCATCTTAAGGCTGTTATATTTCAGTATCTCACCAAATGTGGTTAATTTATGATGTTGTTCATGATGTTAATTGTGAGCTGTGGTATGAAATCAGATAGTGGCGGAATTTTCATTTTTTATTTGCCTCTATGAAGTGACAGAATAATTATAGGCATTTTCTTCATCTGATGATTATTGTAGTTTAAAAAGTTGCCCTCGTTTATGTTTCAGCATAATGCAAGGGGAATATTGGCAATGGCTAACAGTGGTCCAAATACTAACGGAAGTCAGTTCTTCATAACTTACGCAAAGCAGCCACATTTAAATGGGCTATACACTGTGTTTGGAAGAGTAATTCATGGATTTGAAGTTCTTGATCTCATGGAAAAGGTATTTCATTCTTCCGTAATTATTGTAATTGCTTATTCTCTTTTTAAAAAATTATTTGGTTGAAGTTTAAGCTGATTTCTTGGTCTTGGTCTTAGCTTGGTTTGGTAACTCAACCAATATCTACATTTTTTTGGTGTTATATTCATGCTACTTGTCTAGAGTGTTAGTTTTTTTGTGTAGTTTGATTAAGTTTTTGTAGTGTGTTTTTAGTCCCACGTTGCTTAGTATTGTGAGATGGTGTTCTTCACTTTGCTATATAAGAAAGCTTATGTAAGGTTTACAAATGCACAAAAATAAATAATTCTTAGTGTTGTTTATTTCTCTCTTCTCTCCTTTATTACCCTTGTTCCCAACAATTGGTATCAAGAGCCCATTTCTTAGTATGCTCTGTGGTTTCAACTGTGGCTGCAGCTGTGTCTGATCTTCCACATCAGAAAAGATTTTTTCTCTTGTTCTTGGGATCTCAGTTTAGAGAACTAGTGGGGGCTTTTCTTCAAAAGCAGTAGGAGCAATGGCAATGGACGAAGGCAAGATGAATGAATTGGGATTTTCACTCATATGCCCAAGTCTTTGGTGCCATAAATTGGGATTTTCATTTGCTGCAACTGCAATCAAATGACATGCTCCTGCTGTCTTGTAAAGAGTACCACTCTTTTTTCCTCGAGCAATTGTCATCGCACCCTTTGAAATCTTCCAATCATCATCGTGGAAGATTGTCGTGTAGCCTTCACTAGTTAGCTGGCCCACTGAGATTAAGTTCTTCGTCAGGTCGGGGATATGTCTGACATTTTTCAATTCCCATACAGACCCATTTAACTTAATCTTTACTATGCCTTTACCTACAATCTCACATGACTGCTCATTACCAAGGTAAACCTTACCAAGGTTTCCAGGAACATAATTCTCGAATAGTTCTTTCTGTGAGGTTGCATGGAAGGATGCTCCAGAGTCTAACACCCAAGACTCTTCCTTGTTTTCCAACGAACATATCAGCGCATCATCTCCTCCTGAGGTTGCAACAACGTTTGCTTCATCTTTCACCTCATGTTTCTTCGAGGCACTCTTGCATTGATTTTTGTAGTGACCAGTCTTCCCACTATTCCAACAATTGATAGTTTTCGATTTGTTAGAGCTTTGATGATTTCTGGATTTGGACTGCCTCTCCTTTGATTTGCCTTGTTTGGTTCCTTTGGTTGAACTTCTACCTCTTGACTCTGTATGCAATATTGAAGAGGTTGTTGATTCACCCGTCTCTATCCGGCAGACTTCTTCACTGAGGACTAAGTCACGAACATCATCAAACTTTAACTTGTTGCTTCCTGAGGAGCTACTCACAGTTGTGACAGTAGCATTTCAACTTTCTGGTAGGGAAGAAAGAAGTCTGGATTGTAATTGTGTTGAGTTCGTTTATATGTTGCGCTGTTGATGCGCCTTCTGTCATCCGTAGGTTGAACAACCGCCTCATCAAGTGAACTTTGTTTGCGGTCGACGACTTTTCGTACATGCTGGAAAGGGCCGCCATAAGACTAACTGTAGTCTTTTCTTTTGCAATGTTGAAAGCAACATTACGAGATAACGTCAAACGGATGGCTCCGAGAGCTTTTCTGTCTAGAAAGCTCCACTCATCTTCCTTCATAGCTTCTGGTTTCCTACCTGTGAGAGGTTCTTGCATGCCTTTCTCTTTTCTGATGTGGAAGATCAGACGCAGCTGCAGCCATAGAGCATACTAAGAAAATTTACTCTGACCAAATCTTTTCTGATGTGGAAGATCAAACGCTGTTGCAACCACAGAGCATACTAAGAAATGGGCTCTTGATACCAATTGTTGGGAACAAGGGTAATAAAGGAGTGAAGAGAGAAATAAACAACACTAAGAAATATTTGTTTTAGTGCATTTGTAAGCCTTACATAAGCTTTCTTATATAGCAAAGTGAAGAACACCATCTCACAATACTAAGCAATGGGGGACTAAAAACACACTACAAAAACTTAATCAAACTAAAAAAAACTAACAATTCTAGAGAATGTGTGTAGACAAAGGAATAAATAATACTCTTCTTTGTCGCGCAGACTGAAACTGGAGCAGGAGATCGACCACTTGCAGAGATAAGGCTCAATCGTGTAACAATACATGCTAATCCTCTTGCTGGTTAATTTTAGTCTCAACAGTTTTTCCTTTTGTAAAATCTAAATTTAGGAGAGGGGAATTATTCTTAAGACTGATTTGAGTGTCTGTTCATGCTTACCCACTTCCAATTCAAAGAAGCATTTTGAGAAAGTAGTAAAAATGTATATTGAATTCCGAGTTTGGTGCTAGCTTTGTATAATATAATATCTATTTAACATTCAATTTGATTCATTAAAATATGCATTTTTTATGTCATAGAAAGCTTTTCATTTTGCAAATGTTTTCCAAATCTTGAAATTAATTACCAGTGAGAAAATGTCTCTGGAGATGTTTTCAAAAATCAATTTGTACACATGTAATTTTAAGGGTAAAGTGTTACATTAGTTCATTTATCAATTTCCATAATCTTCAAATGTTCTAGATTTTAAGATGAATTTCATACTAATTAGGTTCAATATTTCGATTAATTATAAAAGAAGTTCATTTTTTAACAGACTCGATCCCATTGGAGATTGAATTCAGTCACAGGAAATTTTTAATCATCTTGCATAGAGAAACTCATTTTGAAGAGGATAATGATACTTTGATAATATTACGTGTCTTTTTGTGATTGGTTCATATTGGTAATTATAAAAAAATTCATTTTTAACCGACTCGATCTCATTGAAGATTGAATTCAGCCACAAGAAATTTTTAATCATCTTGCATAGTAGAACTTATTTGGTATGGATAATGATACTTTGACAATATTACGTATCATTTTGTGATTTTTCTATATTAGTTTTTATGATTATTATTATTGATTGTGAAGTAATTTTGAGCTAATCATAGAATGACACGTAAATGATGTTAAAATGTTGTAAAAAAAATGTTGTCAAAGTATCATTATCCTTTTATTCTTTTGAAATAGATTTTCCAGACAAAATAAAACTTTTTGCTTTCACCTTTCTCAGGATTTGTTTAAGTATTTATTTTATAGATTTTTTAAGAAAAGAAAGTTAAAATTAGTGTACATATAAATAAAAAAATTAATAAGAAAATTTATTTCAATTATTTTTCAGAATTAAATTTTAGTTTGTATTGTTTTTTCTTTTGTTAAGTGTCTGAAGAGGTTTATTTTTGTTTGGACAGTTGACATGATTGTTGTAACTTGGTCCAAAAACATATTTCACTGGCCTTAATTCTCTAGTTCGTGGTCTCATTTGATGGCCATCTCCTACATATGCCCATTCCACATCTAATTTTGTGATATGTAATAATATTTTCTTCTTTCATTTCATACTTTTCCCCTTACTCTCATAAAATAAAATAAAAATATCAATACATCCTCATTATAGTATTTTGTAACTAATTTAAAATTATGTGTTCAATTATACAATTTAAAATTTAAGTATCACTTTCAAACACGTAATCTATTATATATATTTTTGAATTCCATAATTCATAAATATTCTAAATTTCTTAATTAATATCTTTCTAACAATTAAGAATCCAAAATCTAATTCGGGATTATTAATTTGAAATATAATTTTCAAACAGTGATTCTAAATTAGTTAATCTTTAAATAACTATCAAAAAGTAATTACAAGCTTCTAGAAATAACAAATCAAAAACTTATTATTTGATAAAAAAATTTGGAATCTACGTGTAACATCCCACAAATATATAGCATAAAATTAAATAAAAGTGTCATCAATTAATAATATGATAGAACAGTTACAGGAAAAATAAAGTTAACCTTACAGTTATTACAAAATAACCATAAAATTTAAAGCTTTACAGAAGTTCTACACCATTCCAAAACTATACACCTAACCGACCGGAATATACAAAAATATTATTGTGACCTAACGGTTCACCAAAAACTATAAACAATATGACCGTACGATCATAATTTAAACAGCAGGATTCTCGCCGTCCAACTTCTGCTCCAACGTACACTCTTCCTCCTCTGCTCATACCCAAAAAGGGTGATCATGTAAGAGAAAAAGCCGAACGGAGACATGGACAAAACAGGAAATAAGGATAAGCTAATGTAATTTAATTGTGAAAACATCCATACATTTCGTACAAGTACAAACAATGTTGAACCGAACACTACAACATACCAAAACAAATACAGGTAAGCATATACAACTGAACACTATACTTCATGCATAAATCAAACACTTGACCATCCAGATTGTATGAATATGTACCTTGAGGCCGTTCATGCACTCGGGTAAGACCATCAGCTACCACCCGAGGTTAGTTTGTTATAATTCACCCAAGAACCTATGGGCTAAGACCTCCTGTCATTCTCACACAATGCATTACCCATCTCTACTTGAAAATTGGTAACCATCAGAATATCAGGATGAACTTCGTGAATTTCATTGTCCATATTCATACTTTACCACTTCAATACACTTTTCACTAAGACAATCCTCCTTGGAATTCTCTTCCACATTACTTGAAACATATGCCTTATTGGAATATCAAAAAAATTTCTCATACACAATAGATCAATAACACTATCTCAAGCAATCAGAGTCAAATAGTGAAATTAGCATTTAAAGTCCAAATAATCCTTCATAGAAGAAAACCGAACAACAACAACACAATGTGTCAGAACCAGCAAAATCAAAAGTCAGAAACCAGTAAAATCCAAGCACGTGTCGTTAGTGGAATTCAGTGTCAAGAGGGAGGCTCGACACTCAAATGATGAACGCCAGGTGTCAAGCCAAGGAGACCCGGAAATCAGTTAGTGGAAAACAGGTGTCGACTGAAGAGGGGACGTTCGTTCTCGACTGTGGAGCAAAACTTGAATCTTCAGAAAAATCTACTCCACTCTCTGCATGCACCCTCTTTTCAGATTTCTGAAGAATCCCAATCTCTCCTCCTTCTCTCTACATTCTCTTCATCTTTTTTTTCTGAGAAAACACCTACTTTCTCTTCTCCGATCACTATTCCGGGACCGTAGGAGCACTTCCGGCGTCAAGGGCTTCCAAATAAACCGTTCGGTCTGTGAAGCTGGACTGGTAAGTCCTTCCCCTCGCTCTGTCACTCGTTTTCCTAAACATGCAAACCCAGTTCTGGGTTCGTGCGTTGATCACCATTCTTAAAATGAGTAGTTCTGATAGTGTCGGGTTGTTGTAGTTTGAAATGTCGAGCGTTGACGATAGGAGAACCTGTGGTGGGGAAATTGTATTTCGACCTCTGGGAACGTTCGGTCACGCTCAGAGGTAAGGGAAGCTTATTTGATTTAATTCGTATGTTGTGTTTTGTATGAACGTTCGTTACTTGACTGCATGAGTATAATGCATGATGTTTGACGTGATTGAATTGCATGAATGTTCGTGATTTATGAGTGGGAATGAAATACATGACTTTACATGATATGGATTGTATGAAATATGGAAGTTGATGTTGATATGAACGCATGAAACTATGAGATTGCATAATGAGAAAAGAACTGGAATGTAAATGGACTTGAAAATGAATTCCCCATGACAATATACGTTCGTTACTGAACGGTCATTGACCGTTCGGTTTTCCCTTGTAACATAGTTGAAAGGTCGATTCTTTCATTTGGATAGAACCCTAGTTGAGGACGAGCGTCCTCGCGTTAAAATACTATGCTTGAGCGTTCGACCAAGCACAGTCGTATCTGGGTATCCCTTGATAAACTCCATTTATATCTATGTGAAATAGTAGATTTCGCCGTTCGTAAATGTTACTTCGACAGTCTTTTATTATATTTATCAAAGTCTGTTATTTTAAGGTTATTGGTGCTCGGTCTTATACCAAGCGCTCGTACTGAGTAGTGCTCGGTCTTACACCTAGCGCTCGTACGGATAAGTGCTCGGTCTTACACCTAGCGCTCGCTCTAAGTGGTGCTCGGTCTTATACTGAGCGCTCGTACTCATTCCTTGTAAAATTAGTCTTAATGAAATAGCGTACGTCCAACTTCATAAGAACTTTCTTTTACCACGTTCGGTCATTGACTGGCAGTGGATTTCAGTATGAGAACTATTCTAAATATGCTTCGTTAACGTCTTGAGATGTCTACATTCGATGTATTCGGCCTAGAGCCTTCACACTTAAATTATTCTCGGAGTATTGGTTTGAATTCACGAGAGTCAGTTCATTCAAGTGATTCACATGGTAAATAACGTTCGTCCAATGAAACAGGACATTACTCGGTTATTCCCAAACGTAATCGTAACTCTATCGGTTGTATTCTGATCCGAACGGGCGTCTTCTTGGTCTCGTCCACAGTGTTCGTCCTCGTTCTGAGTGAGGATTGACGTTCGGTCTGATGTCTTTATAAATTTTTGATCAAAGAGGAAATTGAAATGGTTGAAAGGGAAAGATGAAACTAAAATGATTGGTAATGAAAGACAAACTTGAGATGATTGATAATGAATGATGGAGAAAATATGAGATAAATAGAATGTTGTGGCTTTTGAACGAGCGTTCCAGGGAGGAACGACTCAGAATTGAGAATTGAGATNAATCATAGAATGACACGTAAATGATGTTAAAATGTTGTAAAAAAAATGTTGTCAAAGTATCATTATCCTTTTATTCTTTTGAAATAGATTTTCCAGACAAAATAAAACTTTTTGCTTTCACCTTTCTCAGGATTTGTTTAAGTATTTATTTTATAGATTTTTTAAGAAAAGAAAGTTAAAATTAGTGTACATATAAATAAAAAAATTAATAAGAAAATTTATTTCAATTATTTTTCAGAATTAAATTTTAGTTTGTATTGTTTTTTCTTTTGTTAAGTGTCTGAAGAGGTTTATTTTTGTTTGGACAGTTGACATGATTGTTGTAACTTGGTCCAAAAACATATTTCACTGGCCTTAATTCTCTAGTTCGTGGTCTCATTTGATGGCCATCTCCTACATATGCCCATTCCACATCTAATTTTGTGATATGTAATAATATTTTCTTCTTTCATTTCATACTTTTCCCCTTACTCTCATAAAATAAAATAAAAATATCAATACATCCTCATTATAGTATTTTGTAACTAATTTAAAATTATGTGTTCAATTATACAATTTAAAATTTAAGTATCACTTTCAAACACGTAATCTATTATATATATTTTTGAATTCCATAATTCATAAATATTCTAAATTTCTTAATTAATATCTTTCTAACAATTAAGAATCCAAAATCT